CACATGTGCCTGTTTAGGTAAAATAACCCAACAATGTGCCTGAGAATAGATACAAAAGCCATCATGATGACAGATAGTGGTGGGAGGCTAGAATGGGATTCATAGGGTTTCATAAGTGTCTTTTTAAATATTTTATTGCTTTTTTACAGAGAGGAAAGGAGAGGGTCTATAGAGAGTCAGAAACATCGATCAGCTGCCTCCTGCACACCCCATACTGGGTATGTGCCCACAATCAAGGTGCATGCACTTGACAGGAATTGAACCTGGGACCCTTCAGTCCGCAGGCCGACGCTCTATCCACTGAGTCAAACCGGTGAGGGCATAAGTGTCTTTTTACATGGATGTATTTCATAAGCTATTTCAAAGGCAGACTGTATTTTTCTTTTGTGATTTTAAATACCATAATTGAAGCATAGATAAGGGAAGGAGGAACTTGGTTTCAGCGATGCAGGAATACATGGAAATACCAAAAGCATATGTTTAAATATATATCTCCCACATAACGAATGGTTGCTATGATGCTCCCACAGGCGGTGCTCCACTCAGCCACAAGCCTGGCTGAGAGCTGCAAGCACTGGCAAGTAGACATCCCCTGAGGGGTCCAGGGCTACCAGAGGGATGTCTGACTGCCAGCTTAGACCCGATCCCCCAGAGAGCCGGCGGAATCCGGCAGGTGGACATCCCTCCATGGGTCCCGGAATGCGAGGGTGCAGGCCGGGCTGAGAGACCCCCCCCCCCCCCAAGTGCAGGAATTTTCAGGCACTGGGCCTCTAGCATATATATATAATCAATTTTACTTAAATTAAACTTCAGAAAAGGTTTAAAACTTGAGGCTTCCCAATAATTTTACTCTGTTATTATGAAAGTTCTGGAGTATATTTGTTGCTACTGTATCAGCTTGTGGGAAATACAATACAATGATGTGCTGCTGGGAGATCTTATGTCCATGTTCAATGCCATGGTTTTGGCAGTTTAAAATTGACCATGATGAGAGTATTTACACCAGGGAAACTGACAAATACTACAATCCTAGACTTCACTTAATGTATTATTGAATGCTTACACTTAAATAAGAGAGGTTCTGAATGTTCACAATGCAGATTAAATGTACAAGTACTAGTATATAAGTTGGCTTAATTTGTAGATAGCATAATAATTAAGAAAAACAATCTTCCTTCCAGTATTGCAAACCTATGGTTACATATGGCAAGAGGTCAATTGAGACCCTGAGGAATTAGGGAAATTCAAGCATACGTCTTAGATGCTGTACAGTCCTTCTTCAGTTAAAATAATACATTTATTTAAACAATTTGAAAAAGATCCAGAGTTGACATTTTAACAAAGCGGATACAGACAATGCAAATAAATGTATGGAAAAAAATGTTCACCGTAAAAAATTCTTAGGTAAATGAAATGAAAATGAAAGCAAGTTAACACAATATTCATTTCCAGGGTTCCTATTTGAAAAGGTAAACTATTGTATGTCCCTGCAGGGTAGCAGAAAAACTGGAATTTTTATATATTGTGGGTTAGGGAAAAGGTAAAAGGCATGATCATTTTGGGTCACAGTTCCATATATCTTAAATGTAAAATATTCATCTACACAACAGTTTGATAAGTAAAGCCTATGTCTATATACACAACTGACTTGAAATATTCTCAGATTATCCTATCTAATAAAAGACAAAAAGGGTAATTGACCTTACCGTCACTACGCCTCCCATTGGCTAATCTGCATATTATGCAAGTTAACCACCCACAAAGATGGTGGCTAATTTGCATACTGCAGGCAGATCCCGCTGCGCAGCCCCAGCGCGGGATCTGGGCCTGCAGTGTCTTGGGCGGGGTGGGCACGGTGGGCGGGAAGAGCGGC